CCCGTTTATTTCCACTTTCTCCCTGCAACTCCCTGTGTGATAACATCCACAGACTTGGTCTACTTCATCAGATGCATTAGCAACAGTTCATTCCATGCATCTGAGGAAAAGTGAGGTTGTATCTGCACTGCAGAAATAACACAGTTTGAGCCTATAACAGCCATGCTATCAAATTCTGAGACTTGTAGTTTTGTGAGACATTAAGCCTTCTCTGTCAGAGAGCTGTGCTGCCACAACAAATGACAAATCAGAGGATTCTATAGCATTGCACCATACAGTTAAAGAATTGTCAAAGTGCATTATTTCTTCAGTGTGGATGCAGCCTAATGTCTACAAAAGCTTAGGTTACAACTTCATTTGCAAAGGTAGAGGAGTTTCCCTTCCTTGCCAGACAGACACCCAACATCCTATTTTGTGTCTGGTCACCCCAACCTGACATGGTTTGTGGGTTTTCTGGGTATAAATCAGACATCAAGGGATCTGAGCCATGCTCTGTCTGTTCCCCTTTGCTGTGTTTTTGACCTTGAGTTTGGGAAGCAGGGAGGGCAAGGTGAGAAATGTAATACCAGGAAAGGAGAGAATGAGAGAGAGAAGAGTCCCATTGGGAGCGGGGGAGGCGAACAGAAAACAGAGCCAAGCAACGCTCTGATTGTCTGCCATTATTCCCCGGCCCCTGGCCTGTGTTCCTCTACTTGGGGAATAAACCTGATTGTTGGTTGCATTCACTTTACTAACCACCTGCTATTACCGACACACCTGAGCGAGTAAATAGGCTCCCCACATTCAATGCTTATTACTCAGAAAAGGTTCTGCAACTGAGAAGGCAGACTCCACTGTGGCAGGCAGAGAGACAGATTTGAGAGAGAGCACGGACCGAAGCTCCAAAAGGGAACACACTCAGATCCATACAGGGATAGTCAGCTACTGGTCTTGTTTACATAATGCAGCATCTGGTGATGGTATAGTGGGCCTTTGGTATCCACTGAAATTTGGTTCCAGGATTCCCCATAGATTCTAAAATCCATGGATGCTCAAGCTCTGTTAAATACGATAAATAGTAAAATAGTGTCCCTTATGTAAAATGGCAAAATCAAAGGTTTTTTTTAATTTATATATTTTAAAAATATCTTTAAACCATGGATGGTTGAATTCATGGATTAAAAAAAAAATCAGTGAATATAAGGGATGACTGTATATCTACCCAATGGCATCACTAGGGTTGGTGTCACCTAATGCAGTAACTCATGGTCATTCCCCCCCCCCTGTTGATTTCCTCCATACCACACTATACAGAATCCTTAGTAATTTTTTTTGCACTAATGTTACTCATAGGCCTCGTTCCCACTATGATTTAAAGTGAATTGCTGATCAGGTTATATGACCGTCGTTCCCACTTGGAACCGGTTCTGATCCTATTAAGCTTGGTTGCAACGTGATGAAGCAAGGCAAATGCAAACAACAACAACAACAAAACACGGTTTCCTGACACTAGTTTTTTGGTGGTTCTTTTGAAAAGAAGAGATTTCGAAGGGTGTTCAACAAGTGGGAATGACGGATCTGAATCGGATCATTCTGGAGGGGAGGGACTAATGGCAGACGGGTGTTTATCATTCCTCCTCAGTTTTTGGGAAATCAGCCACCCCCCCCAACCCAGCACTGCCTTTGTGCTTATGATGTGAGCTATGGGAGCATGAAATTGACAGAATATGTGATCCATTGTATTTTCAACTGCTTGCCATTATGGGCAGACTGCAGCTCAGCAGGATCACAGGGGAAATAGTGTGCTTGAGTAGCCTGAGTTGCTGAGGGGCAGAGGAAGGAATGATATATGGGACTTATGATTTATGGGCTCATTCCCACTTACATTTAAACCGGTTTGCGATTCGCCTTCACTCCGTGTCAGTGAATCAATTCCAAAAGGTCCGTCATTGCCACTATGAAAGTGGATCTTTTCATTATTCCCTTGTAATAGCTTCTTTTTGGTACAATTGTTGTTCCCACTAGTTTGCGTGCTTCAAAATGGGTGTTTTGCAATTAATTGCCTCGCTGAGCTACAGTCCACCCATAATTGCAAGTAGTTGCAAATACGATGGATCACATATTCTGTCAATATGTACAGTGGGCCCTGCACATTAGAGCCACAGGACCCTCGTGAAAGTGGAAAAACTGCAAATAAAAAACCACTATGTTTTTAATCTGAGACAACACTTCTCTGGAAATCTGTAGGTCCTCCAGCGCAACTCTATGGTCAACATCTACCAGACATTGACCACAGGATCATGATGGAGGACCTACAAATGCCTAGAGAAGTATTTTCTCTAGTTACCTCTAAGTTTTCCAGAACAACTCTATGGTCAATTTCCAACAGAGTCTCTCTCTGGAGGACCTAGAGATTCTTAGAGAGAACATACAGTATTAATGAAATCTGCAAATAATCAAAGCTGCAAAAGTCAAAGCCACCAATGTACAAGGCTGACTGTACACACTTTTATGTAGTTAACATGAAAATTCGGTGAGATGTGACGTTTTAAAAGAATATATATATTCATTAGTCTCACAAGCAGACTAATGAACATTCATAAGCAGAAGGTGAGCGACAACCAGTCCTACCCACTCTCCACACACATAGTCTGGCAGGAAAATAAAGCAGGCTTAGCATTCTTTGTAAACATATATGAAGTAGGTTTATATACAAATAATAAAGCTTTGATAGTATCTCATAGTGAGAAGGTCTGGGTGGTACCTTTCAAACATGGAGGAGAGAGAAAGAACGAGAAATGCAAACTACAAAACGGAGGAGTAAAAAAGAGATGCAGAGCGAGAGTTTTAGGATTATCACATCATGATTAAACTGGTTTACCTGAGCTGGCTTAAAATTAGAAGTGGATGGCATCCTGATATTATCAGATGCATTTAGCCACTGAAATCGCTGCCCGGGTGCAGCCTGGCTCCATTGCCGCTCAAAGGGGCACTCCTCTTTTCAAAGCTGGGAGTTTTCTGGTTTGAAAAAATGGCCACCAGGCCCCTCGGAGCGGCGATGGAGCAGGCTGCACCCGGGCAGTGATTTCAGCAGCTAAATGCATCTGATACTATCAGGATACTGTCCGCTTCTAATGTTAAGCTGGCTCAGGTAAGCTGGTTTTAATCATGATGCCATAATCTCCTTTGTGTGGCTAAGGAGTCCCACGAACAGGAAATGATATTATATGTTGTGTCTAAATTGAGCCAGTGTGGTGTAGTGGTTTCAGCATTGGACTATGATTCTGGAGTCCAGGGTTCAAATCCTGGCTCAGCCATGTAAACCCTTTGGGCAATCTTGGGCAAGTGTCACTCTCTCAGCTACAAGAGGATAGCAATGGCAATGGCAAACCTCCTCTGAGCAAATCTGGCCTAGAAAACCCTGTGATAAGTTTGCCTTAGGGTTGTCATAAGTTGGAAACAACTCAAAGGCACACAGCAGCATCAAGAAAAGTATGTAAGAATGGTGATGATGAGGGTACTTGATTCTGCAGGAATCATAAAGAAGAGAAAGAGTGGTTTCTTCCCATTACAGTCTGTTCCACTTCTTTTTCAAATGTTTAACCTCCTACCTTAGGACGTTATCACACGTGGACCACAAAGCGATAATAAACTGGAAATGACAAATCCCGAAAATGAACCGAAAATAAACCTTGATTCCGCAAATGGCTTTCACACGTAATTACCTTAATTGCGCAATTAAAGTAAGCTACCGCTGAAACCGCATTTAACTTTCACACACAAGTGAGAAAATCCCGTAAATGAACTAGAAATGAGCTTCTAGCACATGCACAGATAGTGGAATGCTCGCTGCGACTGTAGGATGTTGTTTTCGTCACTTCCTTCTCCCCGTTTTGTCATTGCTTTGGTCGCTTTTACTGTGATTTCAATCTTGCAGTGCAGTTTGTATCGCTGCTAGTATGGAGGCTGTGTTTCTCCTAATGCTTGAGTTGATGGCAAGGGCAGAGGAAGTGGAGAGCGTATACCGTGAAAGGCGCAGGGCTGTGCTGAGGACCCTGCATCGGTGGGCAAGGCGCCATGGCATCAGGAGAGTCACTGCACATGAGATTCTTTGCACAATTTTAGCTCGTGGCAACCGCAGTGCCAGGGCATTCCAGGCCTCGTTCACGGAAGGTGAACTTGTGCGTGGCGCGATTGCAGCCATGATTGCAGAGCAGCAGTGAGCACTGATGGCTACATCTCTCAGTGAACTGTGTTTTCCTGTTGGATTTGACATATATGTTCACAACAAATAAATCATCACTTTACTGTTTTTGGGGCTGGTTCACTTTGCCTCTA